TGGGAAGGAAGGGATGCGTAACTGTGTATGAAAGTAGAAAAAAGGGGGGAATGGGGTTGTAACTGTATAAATGGAATGCCGGTTGAGAGGGGGGAGGGTAGGGAGGGTAAGGGGGGGGTCGACGGGCGCGTTCTCGGGTAATCGAGCTGTTTGGGAAAAAAGAGTGGGTGGGGGGGGAGTTAATAAAGGGGGTGGTGAGATAGAGAGGGGAGAGGCGGAGGCAGAGACAGAGGAAGAGGAAGGATGAGGGGGGGGGTAGAGAAAGGAAGGTTAAAAATAGACAGAAAAAGGAATAAGTGACACACGAAACATAAGGTGAAGGAAGAAGTGAGAGAATAGTGTAGCAATAAGGTAGGAGAGGGGATGGAGGAGTTAGGGGATGTAGAGGTCGGGGACGCAGGGGGTTGGGCAGGGGAGGGAGGGGTGTAGTAGGGCGGAGGGCGGAGCACAGGAAGCCCCCTTAATGAGAGTTGAGTGTGAATAACGCCGATAAGACGGCGACCCAGCTGTTTTTTGGCGCTGCGATGTGGCCTCTGCAATAGAAAGGGGAAGGGGAGGGGGTCCTGATACCGTGACCTTTGAGAGAGAGAGAGCGAGAAATGGGGGGGGGGTAGTGGGTGGGTGAGGGAGGGCTAGAGAGACAAATAAACAGTGAGGGAGGACAGACAGAAGAGGAGGGAAAGAGATACAGAGAAAGGGAGAGAGGGAGAGAGGCTGGCCGGCCGTCTGTCTTTATGTGAGTGTGGGTGTGTCTGTTTGAGAGTGAGTGTCTGTGTTGGCATTGCAGGTTGTCATATGATCAAGGAAGATCTTAATTGCGCCTGTCAGAGAGACACCGTGTTTTTAATTTTAATTGCTCGAGGTCGTTAACCGGGTTTACAAGCACACCCTCCCAATAAAATTGATGATAATTTGTTAATTACCATAATAAAAAGGAAGCTACATTAACGTCTAAATGATCTTTTTTATCCGTTTTTTCCTCCCTCTCTTTTATTAACCGGGACATCCAGATCTATCGATAACGAAGTGGGCATAAATGTTTACAAATTAACGACCGGCAGAAATTCGGGAGCGGGATCAAGGGGACGGGCTTTTACAGCCGCGAAAAATTGGGTTAATATGATACGAGTTTTTTTTTCTACGTTTAATTATCTTATGGTGTTTTGTTAAAGAGTTGCCCCCCCCCCCCCCAAAGAAAAAAAAAAGATAATAAAACTGTAAATAGGCTTTTTGTTTTTCCGAGGTTCTTCTGCATTTTTTCTGTTGTGAAGGAACAAAGGATGTGGCTTTTTTCTGGTTTTCCTAAACTTTATTGGTTTATAGCAACCTGTGTGAAAGGGCTTGGGGAAGAGAGAGAGCGAGAAAGAGAGAGAGAGAGAGAGAACTTTTACAAAACGTGAACATTTGAGGTAAAGATAGAATATAAAGGAGATAAAAAATAATAATAAATGAACCTATCAGAACGAAATTATCAAAAGCTTTAAGCATTTTTTTTTTTCATTATTCACGATGCGAGTGAATGTGCATGGGAATTCGAATCATGCGACTCCACGTTTCTTTGGCGGCTGCAAACTGGATTTAGCGTCGCTGGATCGGGGTTGCGGTGGCGCTATTTGGGCGTGAGTGAATGGCGCGGGGGCAGGTGCAGGAGGGGGAATGGGCGGGCGAGCGGGAGGGCAAGTAGGGAGGCTGACTGGGAGGTAGTAGACAGGTAGCAGGCAGGCAATTAGGTAGGCTGACTGGGACTGACGCTATGGCACAAACAATATACAATGGAAAACATGAAATAATACGAATGGACGTAAATTTAGAAACATATGGTCACATGACCGTTTCGTGAAGAAGGAACAAGGGTCTGGTTCACAGAAAGTGGGTATGTTTTTACAGCGTAAATATTGTGGTTATGGGCAGACTGGCTAACATTGGAATATCAGTGATAAAAGCAGCTACGCACATAGTGATTAAGAATCAGCATTTCCTAAGGATCAATTTAAGTATAAACATGGCACATTTATTCATGAAGACAAGAATAAAAGCATGAGAGATGTATGCGAGCAATAAAGGTTGGATTAGCGTGTTCTACGGTCACTTTGTGAAATGTCATCTGGTTCGGGGCGCAGGGCACTTCGGAATCTTGTGAAATAAGCAACACATGGCTTTTGCGGTCTGCGAGGGGAGAGCGGGTCACCAGACAGGTAGGCAGGCAGTCGGGAGGTAGATAGACAAGCGATCGATGGACAGAGCATTTAACAGAAGCGCTGATATGCAAGATAGTAGATCAACAGATAAGCTGCATACAAACAGAAAGAAGACAAGGAGCTGACAGTACGGCAGGTATTTATAGAATTTGAAATAAATCAAACGTAGGGACTGAAACCAATACACCTGTAGTTAGTCACAGAGGCAGACTCACCCGCACACGCACGCACGCACGCACGCACGCACGGAAGTAAGCTGGCGACCAAATACGCAGTCATTCATCTCGTCATTGAGATCCTCCTTCAGGCAGCCGCGCAGGCGCCCTCGTTGCATCCTCTTGTTGCCCCCGCGTGGCCTAGGCAACGGCGCGGAGGCAGGGCTGGGGCGGCCGCTGTCACGCATGCCTGGCCGCCGCCGCCGCCGCCTCCTGGCCCGACACACACTCCCGATAAGAGAGATAACGCCGATTGCCGACACTGCGATAATTGCCCCGCCCAGCGTGTGCCCGTCGGGGTGTGTCTCTGCGGTTGCTCTCCTCTGCGCCGCCTTGTCTTCCATCTCCTCCTTTCCCCTTTTTTTGTTCGATCTCTTCTCCTCATTCTTCTCTTGTTGTTTTTCTTGGTTCTCCTCCTCCTTTTTCTTTCTCTTTCCTTTTCCTCTCTCTTCTCCTCTCTTCTTCCTCCTCCCCCTCCCCTCCTACTTCTAATCTCCTCTCCTCCTCCATCCCTTTTTAATCGAATTCCTGCGATCGATTAAATTCGTGTTCTTCACCCCCCCCCCCCCACCCTGTCGTATCCCTCTCCTTCCACCCCCCCCCCCTCCCCGTATCCCCTCTTCCTCTGACGTCATCAGTGTTTGATTTGGGTCGATGTCTTTTTTTTTCGGTTCCGGGGTTACTCTCGGGATTAGGTCGGGTCACAGTTCATTATCGGGGGAGAGCTTGGGTCAAACTTTAATTTCTACTCTCCCTACCCGCCCCCTTTTTTGGCTTGGTTGTTATATTATTATTATTTCTTTCTTTCTCTTCTTCTTCATCTTCTTCTTCTTCTTCTTCTTCTTCTTCTTCTTCTTTGCTTGCTTGCTTGCTTGCTTGGATCTTTCAATTATTTATTTTTTTGTGAGTCTTCTTGATCTGTTTCTCGTTGTTGTTTTTTTTACTCTCTCTCTCTCTCTCTCTCTCTCTCTCTCTCTCTCTCTCTCTCTCTCTCTCCTCTCTCTCTCTCTCTCTCTCTCTCTCTCTCTCTCTCTCTCTCCCTTCCTTCCTTCCTCCCTCTCCCTCCCTCCCTCCTCCTCCCTCCCTCCCCTCCCTCCTCCTCATATACACTCTTTCTCTCTTTCCCCCTCACAGTCTCTCCCTCCTCCCATCCGCACTCATAACCATCTCCTTTTTCTCCCTTTCTCCCTTTCTCTCGCCTTGCTCTCGCCCCTCCTCGCCCTCCTATAGCAGGCTACGGCGAGCGTGACTGAAGCGTGACGAAGCGCGTGTGACAGCCCCGCCGTAACCCCGAAGGCGGAGGGTACGAAGGGTTACGTAGGGCGAGGGAGAGCGGCCGGGCGGAGGGTCGGCTTGAGTGCGGCCCGCTGTCTGCCTACCTGCTTGCCTGCCTGCTTGCCTGTCTGCTTGCCTGTCTGCCTCTCTGCCTATCTATCTGTATGCCTGCCTGCCTGTCTGTCTGCCTGCTTGCCTGTCTGCCTCTCTGCCTGTAAGCCTGTCTGTCTGTCTACCTCACTGCCTTTCTACCTGTATGCTTACCTGCCTGTCTGCCTGTCTACCTGCCTCCCAGCTTGCCTGCTTGCCAGTCTGCCTTTTGCCTGCCTACATCCTACCTTCCTCCTCACCTATTTGCCGCCCTACTTACCTTCCTACTTACAACCTACATTCCTACCTATCTACTTACTTGTCTATCTGCCTCCCTGCCTATCTCTACCTATTTACCCCCTACCTAAACCTACCCTACCTACCTACCTACTACCTACCTACCTACCTACCCTACCTACCTACCTACCTACCTACCTACCTACCTACCTACCTACCTATCTACCAACCTACCTGCCTACCTCCCTGCCTAGCTGCTGGTTCTGCGGGAAGGGGAAGGGCGGTTGCAGGGTGGGGGGAGGGGCGGAGGGGGGGGTCTATGCTGCTGTGATTACGTGCTGCCTTTTTTAGCTTTTCTTTTTTCTTTTTCTTTTTATTCTTTTCTGGAGTTCATTTCACCTTTCGTTTCTTGGTTAATTGTTACTTTTTTCTCATTTTCTAATTTTCTTTCTTTTTGTGTGTGTATGTGATTGCGTTTGTGCTGATTGTGCTGTTATTTTTGGTCATTCCTTTTTTTTCTTCTTTTCCATATCCTCCTTCCTCTCTCTCCTCTCCCCTCTCGCCCTCTATTTCTCCCTCCTTCCTTACCTCCCACCCTCTCCTTTTCCCTCCCTCCTTACTCCCACCCTCTCTTTCTCCCTCCCTCCCTCCCTCTCTCCCTCCTTTCTGCCACTCTCCCCACTCTCTCCATATCCTTCTCTCTCCCTCCGATCTACCTTCCCTCCTTCCCTCCCTCCTCACTGCCACTCCCTCCCTCTCCGCCCCCTCCCCAACCCCAACAGACTTCGTAGCACAGCTAGAACCCCCCCCCCTCCCCTCCTCTATTTTTGGTGCAGCTTCCCAGCAGTGCCATAGCCCTCCTCCCCCTCCCCATTCCTTCCTCCTTCCTCCTCTCCTCTCCTCTCACTGGCTGCGGTCTCTGCAGTGACACACGCTCGGCCTCTCCTCTGGTTGCTTGGTTGCGGGCGAGGGTGGGCGGGGTGGTTCCTTTTTATATTTTGTTTGTTTGTTTGTTTGTTTCTGTTTTCGTTGGTTTTGGTTTCTGTGGAGTTGTGTGTTGGTTATTATTTAGCTCGTTTTTTTTTTATATTTTGTGTGTTTGTATTTTTTATCTGTCTATTTCTGTATTTCTCTCCTCCGTTCTCTCTCTTCTCTCATCTCCTCTCTCTCTCGTCTCTTTCTTCTCTCCTCTCATCTCTCTCTGTCTCTTCTCTCTTCTTCCCTCTCTTTCTCTTCCTCTCTGCTGTCTTCTTCCTGCTCTCTCTCTGCTTTCTTATCTCCTTCTGCACACACCCTTATTCTCTTTCTCTTTGCTCTTTCTCTAATTTCTCCGTCTTTCCTTCGAATCGATTGGCACTACTGCTCGTTATTCTCGGTTAGGGCTCGTACAGGGGAGCTCCTGGTCTTTCTTTCTTTCTTTTCCTCGAGGTCAGGCCTTAGGTACAGTGACCTCTTTCTTCTTTCTCATCACCCTCTCTCCACCGCATTCCGCCTCCATCCGCCCTCACTGTCTTTCTTCTTCTCTACCGGGACGGGGGCCCTCTCCCTCCCTCCCTCCATCCCTCCCTAAAACAGTTTACGGACGGCGGGAAGTTTTTTTTTAGTATAGAATAAGAATGATTTTCCTATATGGTTTCTTTCCATTAAAAAAGTTTTTCTTTCCTCCTTTCCTCCTTCTCTCGCGTTCCTTGAAATTTTCCTTTTTTTCCTTTTTTTCTTTTGCTTACACCATTTTCTCCTTCGCCGATGATGAAACGCAAACTTTTCCTGCAACCTGCACCCACGCCCATGCCCCCGCCCACCCATCCCCTCAGAACAGCCTTTATGCCAGACTCCGCCCATCGACCAATTTTGTAAATGGGAAAGTATGGCTGCATTTTTTTTATTTACTTCTTCTTCTTCTCCTTTTTCTTTTATTCTTCTTCACCTTTTTCTTCTGATTTTTTTTCTGATTTCTTCTCCTTTTTCTTCTTGATCTTCGTTCTACTTCTCTTAGTCCTCCTCTCGCATGATCATCCTTTTTCTCGCTCATCCCCTACTACTACAAATCGGCTAATTTCGACTTCTACCTCTTCCTACTCTTCTTGTTCTTTTTTTTCTTTCATACCCTAATTTTTCTTCTTCTTCTTCTTCTTTTCTTCCTTTACTTCTTTGCTTTGCTTTCTTCATTGCTCCTCAACTCCTCCTTCTTCATAGACAAGTTCATCAATCATGCTTCGTTCTTCTTGCTTCTTTTTCCTTCGCTTCTTCCATTCCCTTTCTTCTTCTTTCTTCTTCTTCTTCTTACACTTCTTCTTCTTCCTCTTCATCATCTTCATCTTCATTTCTTCATCTTCATTCTTCATCTTCATCTTCAAATCTTCTTCTTCTTTTTCTTCTTCTTCACCTTCTTCTTACCTTCATCCTTCTCCTTCTCCTTCTCCTTATCCTTCCTCTCGCTTCCTCCTTCTCCTTCTCTTCTCCTTCCTCCTTCTCCTTCTCTCCTTCATCCCGCTTCCTCCTTATCCTTCTCGTATGGTGGATCAGAGACTGCTACCCGACCGGAGCACGAAGGGTCGGAATGGAGATTTACTGGTTTAACCTGTGAAATTAAGTCAGCTGTAAGAGAGATATCTGGCGCGTGGGCGCAGCACGTGCTCGAGCCAAGCGTAGATGCACTTCGGCGACTATATCTGGGACTTGAGTATACTGATGTGATGGCTCATGCGGTGGCAGTGTTGGTGGGTGGAGGAGTACTGCCGCGCAGCGGAGCTAGTTATGAGCTGCGGTTGAGAAGTTCGATGCCTCTCGTGGGGATGAGGTGACGGTGGAGAGTGCGCGACACGCATGCTGAATGTTGTTGCTGCCGAAGTGAGGCGGGAATCCACGCGATGGTCACAGGTTGTGAGTTACAGGGAGACGGATCAGGTGCTGCGAGGCGTGCGATGTAACTGTCTTCGTCTGAGAGATGATCATTAGGCTCTCAGTTTGGATTCGTAGAAGCGCGGTTGAGCTCTGATCTTTTTTCGCGCCCTCTTGCCTTCTCC